TTTTGATTTTTGATATGTCTTTTAGAAGAAGAAGTTTTGCTTTGAAGTAGTCATTTGGGATTATTCTGAAAGCGTAGTCTTTATAGAGTGTAGTAATGATCTTGGGTATATCAATTTTAGAATCATTAGTATCTAGGGGAAAAAGTAAACAGAATCTGTGATTTAGTTCTTAGTAGGTTGTTGGTAAAGGCAGTTTTGGAGCTAGGATATCAAAGTAGCTTTCTAAAATTCTTTTGAATGAAAAGGTCTTAAGAAGTCTTTGTTAGTAGTAGGAGAGAAATTGGAGTCGTTTCTTTTCTTTAATTAGGAAATAGTAAGATAGAGGCTTAATTAAATCTTCTGAGTTAGGTGGAATAGGAGGTAAGGTTAGAAAGTATGATTCTGGGAGTTTTTGAAATTTGTAAATTTTTCTCAGAGCATTTACTACTCCTCTAGTAGTAGATCTGTTTGCTACTGGGAGTGAGAATGGTAATAAGCTTCGAATGTCTTCAGATATTAATTCGGGATCATCAGGAAGTAGTTTAAGAAGTGATTGTTGTACTTCATCGATAGCCTGTTTGATATTGTCTGGTTCGATTTTATCTATATGCATAAATCTGTGACAGTATCAAATAATTTTATATATATTAAATTTGTTTATACATGTTAAGTCAATGTTGAGGAAGAATTGAGTTGCTAGGTGAGTTTTTAGCATTTTGGTAATTGTGTTTCTGGTATTGCGATCTGTAAAGTTAATATCATAGAGTTTTTTATAGTTGTTAATAGCATTGGTTTGTAGGTTTTGAAATTCTTTTTGGTGAGCTAGAGTAGAATTTTTGTTGCGAGTCAAAGTGGTGAAGAAACTTGTGTTGAGGTGTTTGAATTTGAAAGAGATAGCAGATAGAATAAGAGTTTGAATTAGTTTGGTTTGTAGTTTGTAAGTAGTGAGTTCTTGGATACCTTCAGGTGTTTCTAAAGCTATAGCTATATGTTGAATAGGCCATAGTAATTGGTCAAAAGAAGTATGTTGTTTTTCATTTATATTATCGATAAGCATGTTAGCCTATTCATCGCTATCGTTAGTTATAGTTTGGTGAATATCATTAGGGTTAGAACTAAGATATGGGTTTTGGGTTACTTCAGCATATAATAATTTCTTTGTTAGTAGAATATTAGCTAGTGTCTGTGTATCTGGGTTTGATGATACTTCATCCATTATGGTATCATATATATAGTGGGAGGAAGATGATATAGGTCGCTTAATGAGTTCATGTTCAGTTTGGTCTGCTCAAGATTGGTTTGGAGAGTCTGTTGTATCACTAGGTTCAGCATCCATCTGTATGTTTGTATTTGTATTTTGTGTATTATCATTATTATTAGAATCAGAATTAGTTTCTATTTCAGTCTGAGTTTCAATGAGTTGAGTAGTACTAGTCTCTATGTGTAATATATTACGAATTTCAGAAAAGAGAGCACAAGTATTTGGTGTAGTTGTTGTGGGCATAGTGTTGAAGAGTACAGCTGTATCATATAGCATAATAGGAAATGCAGAGTTTTGTTTGTAGGCATTAGTTTCAAGGTAGCGGTTTTTTGTATTTTGATATGTTTGAATAAGTGATGACGATTGGGTTATGTTAGTTGTAATATTAATGACAGTAATATTAATTGCGTTATTGGATAATTTGGTAATAGTAAAAAGTAAAGCAGAGTCACTGTTGAGGGTTGTATCAATCCAATATTTTGGGTGAAGAGTAACATTTTCAATGATGATTGTTTTGTGGTATTCTATAGTATAGAGTTGTTGTTTGTTTGAGGAGAGTATACTAAAAGTAATTTTGTAAGTGAGGTTAGTTGTATTAATAGTAGTTAGGTCAAGAATTTTTTTTTGGTGTTCGTGTTAGATTTGCATATCTTCGTTATTAGATGTAGTTATTGACATTGTTGTAGCATTAGGGTCGCAAGTATTGTTATTGTTATTGTTGTTGTTGTTGTTGTTGTTGTTGTTGTTTGTTGTGTTAGTAGAGTTGGAGGAAGTCGCTGTAGTAATATTTTTGGAGAGGTGATGCCTCTTCTCTATTTTTTTCTGTATCTTTAGGCACGGTGAATTTGTTGTCAGTTGTTTGTATTGTTGGTTTGTTGAAAGGAATTAACTTCCTTTTATTTAAAGTCTTTTCTGGAGGAAGGTTTTCTTTGTTTTGTATTTTTCTTTTATTTTTTATTTTGTGTAGTATTGTTGTAGTAAGTTACAGGAAAGAGTTGAAATTTTTAGTTATTTTATTATTATTTTATTATTATATTATAGTTATATTATTAGTTACATTTATTAGTATTTAGTTATTTCTTATATTGTATTATTTTAGTATAGATATTTTAGAGTAGAGAAAATTATTATAAACATTCACCTCTAAGTGAAGTACCTCAAAAAGCGATCATAGTGAAAAATACTCTTAAGTAACTTTGTAGTCAAGAATATCAGCTACACGATGATATAAGTTATATCCAAAGTTATTATATAATATCCAGAGAAAACATAGGCCGTAGCAAGAAAATACTGTGCCAAAACTGTGCCAGACTGTGCTGAACATTATGCTGAACTGTGCCGAATACTTTGCTGAATACTGTGCCAAATACTGTGCTAATACTGTGCCAGACTGTGCTGAAAGACTGTGTCAGACTGTGCTGAACTGTGCTGAGTACTGCGCCTCTTACTGTGCAAAACTATTAATAGTGACGCTTAACTGTCACTTGCACGAACGCTTAAGTAACGCTTGCACAAGTCATTTACATAACACTTTGCTGATGCTTATATGATGCTTGCTAAAAGTTATAAATACAAGTAGAATTCCCTCTCTTACTCTTTAGTTGTTTAGACCTCAACTCCTTCCTCTCTTGTACTTGACTTTAAATATTTATAATTAATAAATATATTGTTATTAAATAAACCTAAACGAACTGCCTCTTGTAGAGTAAAACTTGTCTTTATAATTAGTTAAAGAAACTTCTCTCTTGGACACTGCTTTTTAAAGTAATTAGATAGCTATTTTACTATTACTTATAGTATACTAAGAAAGCTATGCTATCTGTAACAATATATATCTCTATATAAATTTTGCTAATATATAGTCTTTAATTAAATTTATTTCACTTTATTTTCAATATATTTTTTTGAAATTTTTTTTAAAATTTACAATTTTGATTGGTTATCTTCTCTTTAAAGATTTTAGTAATTTGAGTAATAAAAACAGTTACCTCTGCAGATTGAAACTGAATAATGAAATTTAACTTCAACTTCAAATTAAACTAGTTTAAATAGTAAATTATTTTGTAATATTCTAATTCTGTTGTAACTTTTTAACAAACCAGTTTTTAAATTAGTATTTGATTTTATTTCAGTATTTTCTTTTTTTATCACTATTAAATTTCAAAATTATATATTAGTAACTAATTTATCTAATATAATAAAAAAGTAATTTCAGATTTTTTCTTTTTAGCTAAATCTTTATCTGACAATTTGAATTAAATTTGATTTAAGCTAATCTGATTTAATATAAATCAGTTTTTTTCATAATCATATTTAACAATTCGAGTTTTAAATTTTACAACTAATTCTAATCTCTATACTAAATCATTTGATAATTTTTTTGTTATCTGAAATATTCAGTCTTATCTGGTAATTATCTAACTTTTTGAAATCTATATCACTGTCTTCAGACTTCTAATCTAATAATAGCAATATAGTTTCTAAAAGGTTAGGTAATTTACTAGACAAGACTAAGAATATTTCAAGTAAAAAGAAAATTATCAGGTGTTTCATGAATTATAAAAGTAGCAGTAAATTTCAAAATATTATAGATTACTATAAATTGTAATTACCTAATATCAATTTTACTAATTAGTCAGAAATTTTATGTATAATGTAATTTCATAATTTAGGTCTACTATAATTTTAGTCAGATACATAATACCAAATAATTAATTCTAACATTATGATAATTATTTATTTAAATTCTATACAATTGATACTAATTGGCTTAAAAGTACAATTTTTAAATTACATAAAGTCTCTAAATTTCAAGTCAGATCAGATAAGTTTATGTTTAACTCAAACCTAATAACAGAAGTAACCATTATTGTTATACAAATTACAGATCACTTCTGAAATTCTCTAATCTAATTAAAATTGATATTACATGCTAATTAGCCAATTATAGTTGATAAAAAAAATTTTTTGTACATTTTTTATACTTTTTGAGAAACTCATACAACTTATTTTTGCAATATAATATGAAATATACTAAGTAAACTTTAGAGTTTTTATATTATATTTTAATAATATCAGTTGAATTCTATTAAATTCTACAACTTTTATATTGCATTTCAACTAGCAAAGTTTATACAAAACATATAAGAAATAGGTGCTATATAAATATTGAACTACTAGATCATCAAGTTTTAGTTCACTAAACAATAAAAAAACTAAAGATAATAAATATTTATAAAAGTTATAGTATATATTTTAATATTCACATATACTTTTTATTACATTTAGTATTAACAGTTAAAAATATCATAAATAAATATATATATATATAATAGCTTTTCACTAATTTTTTATGTAATTTTTAGATTATGAGAAATGCATTACTTATATAGTTAAGATATGAGCTAAATATATTTTCTAGAATATAAATATATACATATATATACTAGTAAAATAATAGTCAAATTATAAATGCTAAGTTTGGATTTAAAATTAAATATAGTTTAATTATAAAAATGAACTAAAAAACTTTTTTATAATTATAATAAAATTGATAGTAAATATATAAGACATATATATCTATCTTGTAGTAATATTTAAGGTATTTTGTTATATTTAAAATATTTTATTCTAAATATAAATTATAAATTTTAATAATTTTAATTCAAATCTCATTTGGTTTCATATCAATTCTATCTTTAAAATTTGTAATTTTGATTGGTTAGGAGGGCTTCAGAAGTGATCTGCAATTTGTGTAATAATGCAGTCTGGTGTTTTTCTATATTTGGTATTTTCAAATATAGTAATGATTTATATTACATAATTGCATATTAGCATTCTAAAATTTAATAATCATTCTTAAAATTAATTAGCTATACTGCTACAATATAAAATGTCACAAAGAAAAGTGATTAATTTATTACTTACTAGATTTTAATTAATATAGTACTAATTACATATATATATATCTATAAACTTGTCTCTTGGCAACACTTATATATATCAGCTTATGAATATTCTAAAGTGAGAACTCATAAGTATATATACAATATCGATATTACTTTTTTATCATTTTTATTGTATATATATAATCCTATCTGCTTATATATTATTGCATATAATGATAATATCCAAATATAATGATATTAATTATAAAATTTTTATGAGATGAATTAAAAATAATAAACTTAAAAGTACTCATTTTCTATAATAATACTTAAACGTATTAGCTTATAAAAATCTGTAAGTATATATATGATATGAGTCAATTCATACTATTATGAGTATTTAAGCACTTTTGATCAAACTTTAATAATTTATTAAACTATATTCTTGAGTAGATACTCTACTCTTAATGCAAGTTTTATTATATAATATTATATTATAATTATCATTCAAAGTTTTCAAAATCTATTTATCTTTATTATTAAAATTGATTGAACATCAATATTTTAATTTAAAAAACTTTGTCTGAATACTTATAGCATTACGGTCTTACTTATATTACTTTTTTATTGCATTGATTGTATACATATATAATACTACCTACTTGTATATTATTGTACATAGTACTTAAAATATAATGATAATATTAATTGTGATAAAATTTTAAAATTTTTATGAGCTGAATTAAAATAATAAATTTGAAAGCATAAAATCTAATTTTTTCTTGGCGATACTTATATGTATTAGCTTATAAAAGCTGCAAAGTAAAAACCTGCAAGTATATATATGATATTACTTTTTTTTTTTTTTTTAAGGCTATTTCCTTGGCCAATTAGATTTTTATTAGTTTGTTATTGCGAAATTATCATATGAACAGTTTTTTAAGGTTTTATAGTTATATGATGAGTATACAACAAGCTACATGTATAACTTTAGTCATTGTCTAATTTAAGTAATCTGTTATATAGATGATCAACTATCTGTTAGTTCTACACTATACTGCCAAACCTGCAACTCGCCTATGAGTTACCTATTTAAACACTCTGATCATTAACTCTTTCTTATATTCCAAACTAATTTCACTACTATGACCAACTGCTTATGCTAGCTAGTTCACCTGTAGATCCATTTTTCTGCACAGCTTAGGTCCTTTCGAGATACGTATGCCTAACATATTGTAAGCTGCAGAGCTTCAGTTAACCTCAAAAGTATTTTCTACCAAAGTGGTCATGTGTCTATTTTACAGATTCACTTGGATTAGACCCTTGTCGATGTTCGTACAAATCCAGTTTTTGCTATAGCCATCTACTAGATATAGTCCTTCAAGTTTTAGCTAGATATTTTACGAAGTAGATCCTCTCAATCTAGTTAGCTGCTAAGCCAAGTTGGTGTTGCCACTAATACAAGGTACCAGGCTACATTATATAGTAGACTTACTTGCACCTATCGATCTTATATCCTTTGTACTCAAGTTTTTCATTAGATCAGGCATTAACTGGCTTGATCATTAAAATTTATACTACTTTACCAAACTCAGAATTTCTACTATACAGGTTCCCTGCCTGTAGATCCTATCAAGATTTATTCACGTAACATAACTTGAGTATTGTGTCATACTTCCAATGTCCAATTGATATTAGTACAACGTGATTTACAGGTTTGTAATCTCCAGAAATGAGCAGAGTTTACCATAAGTTGAGTACAAAGATCTGGGTAATTATTCAAATTCGTCAACAATAATTTGAATCCCAGATCTCTTGCATGACAGTCTGACAATCTAACTACTACACTAAGATCACCAGACCTATGATATTACTTTTTTATTGCTTTGATTATGTATATATATAATACTTTCTACTTATATATTATTGTACATAATATTCGAATATAATGATTATTATAGTAAAAATTAAAAATTTTTATGAGATGAATTAAAAATGATAAACTTGAAAGTGTAAAGTCTTATTTTTTTCTAGTATACTTGTATATATTAGCTTAAAAATAAAAACCTATAAATATATATATAATATTACTTTTTTATTGCTTTGATTATATATATATACCAAATAATGATGATATTAATTATGATAAAATTTAAATTTTTACTTATGAGTTTTTATATTGCAGTATTTATATATAATCATATTGGAGATTGCAAGTTACTGTTTTAAATAAAACAATTTCTAATTATTTAAAATAAACAGTTAGTATTTTAATTTAAATTATTACTTATTATACTTATTGTTACTTATATTTTTTTTTATATTTTAAAATAGAAGATGAAAACTCACTATTCTGTTTATTTTCTATACTTGTTAATACTTATGAACATAAAAAATTAAGTAAATACAAAACTAAGAATAATTAATAAATTTGAAATATATTTACAAATACTATTAAAACTCAAATTAAATTGTTTAAACTATATTTTTCTGAATTAAGTACTCTTCAAAATAAGTTAAAAAAGTATATAATTTGTGAAAAACACTATAACTAGATTTTTGCAAAAGATAATTATATAAATTATTTAAAGATAAGTCATTACCTTACTTAAGAAAGTGAAGCTATAATTCTAATACCTTAAATTTAAATAGTACTAATATATGAATAGAATCTTTAACTATTGATATTAGAATTCAAGTAGAAATAAATAATGATTATTTTATGCAAATTGAAGCTTTAAATAATTCTCTTAATACCCTTATAACTGAATATTCCAAACAAGTAAAGATCATTGAAATTAAAAATAATAAAATTTTTGAATTAGAATATGAATACGAATATCTTAAAAAGCAAATCACTGATCTTAATATTAGATTAGAAAGTTTAGATTTATATAAAAGTCAGGTAGAAATACTAATAAGTAAAAAAAATAAATTATAAAGTGAAAATATGAATCTAAAAGAACAATGGAATGAACAATATAATACTCAACAAAAATGAATAACAAAAATTACTAAAATTGCTTTATTAGAATGAGAGTTTTTATATGATAATATTATTTATTTAATTAATGATTGTAATTAATTTTCTTTAGAAAATTTACTAGCATATAATTTTTTAAATTGGCTTAAAAATCATAATCCTGTAATAGTAAAATTTATTGAAGTACTTACTAATAATGATAATAAGCAATTATATCAAAAGAAAATTTTTAAATATATAGTCATAGTAGATACAATTTATAAATCACAGTATAGTAAATATATCTCTAAAATGAATCTTGCTGTATTAGCAATTAAATATACTATTACTCAATTAAAAATTATAATAGATATTAATAGTTATATTACTGATAGGGAAAGCTATACAAAATTTATTAATTGGATTGAAAGTTTAACAGTTGAGCCTAAACCTTTACCAGATAGATTTTTAATTTTGGTCTTTGATAATGAACAAAAGAGCCAAAAAAATTAGTTAGATCAGAGTTACAATACAGTTATATTTCATATTATAACTAGCTTTGTAGCTTTGAATTTTGATTCAAATAATGATAGCTAATTAAAAATTGATCTATAGAATAACAATTTGCTTCTTAAAGATAATATTAATTAATTATTTTATTTAAATAATGACATAGAAAAAATACTTAAAATTGAGTTTTATGATTTTATTAGTGAAATAATAAATAACTTATATTTTGAAAAAAATCAAGATGTAAATGAAATAGATAAGCTAGCTAAAAAACAAAATAGTTAATCTAATAAAATTAAAAATTAGTTAAATTGTTTTAAATCAGAAATTGATAACAAAAAATAAAATTGTCCTAAATATAATACTAAACTACTAATACTTACTTCAATAAATCAAGAAGTATTTCAACAAATATATTATCTGAAAATATAAATAAAACAATAGTATTTAAGCCTTACAAATCTAAAAAATCTAATATCAAATTACAAAAATCTCAAATTAGTATAATACAGAGAATTATAGCAGACCAAGAAGTAAAAATTCTAGACTTATATGTACTTGATCTGATTTCTATTAATTCTAATTCTTTAATAAATATTCAAAAAGTTTTAGAGTATATTAAAATAATTACTAGAATCAAGTTTAAAAAATGTAAATGAATACCTGTTATATATGATAGCATGCTCTATAATAAAGTACTAAAATTAAGACAAAAATTTCTTTAGTTAATTTAACTTCTAAGTGCTTTGCATAAAAAAATAAACATGCTTAAAGTATTTGTTAAACTAAATTAGTATAAAATTATCTTAAATTATTTTAATTTACTAATTTACTTATATTTAATTTTTAATTTTTAAAGGAGATCAATATAAAAATATTTGCCTGATACCAAGAATATCAAACAGATAATCAATTAGAATTTTTTTGAAAATGTGCTAATCACTATAAAGTATAGAACTCGATATGTAATATATACTATTATTTAATAGTATCAGAATTAATATAGCTATATATTCTTAGTCATGATAATTCAACATCTAATGGATATCTAAAATAGACCAAAAAGCAAACTAATGAAATATATAAATTAAAATTTGAACAAGTTAGATATTAATATAATTTTAATTTATAATATTTATAATATAATATAAAACAAAAATAAATATAATTGTACTAGACTTTTACTTACTTTCAGACTATTATAAACTTTTGTACTGGAGTTCAAACTAACTAACCTCTATTAAAAAATGTATCCAGGTAGCAATTTGCATCTATTTGGTTAGCTAGACATTATTCAATTTATAAATTAATAGAAATATTATATGAAGAAACTATGTTAAAATTAAAACCTCAAATTTGTAAAACTATTGAAAATATTTTAGTAATATCTCATTTAGGACTTCGAAATCAGTATTAAGGACTTGATACTATAATAAAAGAGATTAATAAAGCATTAAAGTTTTTAATTTCTCTAATTCTATCACAATATTACTAGAAAATCACTGTAAGAAATTATATAAATTTTTATAAGTAACTTAATAAGTATATATTGCTGTATTAAATTAATTCTAATATTAAAAAAATTTTAGCTACATACTAACCTTTTTGATATTATTAGGTATAAGGACAATAAAAATTCAAAACCACAACTCTAACCTAATTCTTATATAGAACAGCAGTATTTTCATACATATTTAAGAAAAAACCAAATTTTAAATCTAATAAAAATAAATAGCATATTCACTAATTTAGATAGCAATATCAATTTGAGTGAAGAAATGAAGTTATTTAGTATACTTGCACATAAGAGAAGACAAATATTCATTAAAAATACCTTATTGTAAAAAATTAGCACTAATACTTGGCAAGCAATTTCAGTAACAGAACAGGAGGCTAAAACACTAAAAAATGAAAAAAACAATAAAAAAAGAAGAGCTTATTTTAGTTATTAATTCGATACTTATATTACTTTCTGAATTATAATGCTCAAAGTATACTAACTTAAAAAATAAACAAAAGTAATACTTTTAACAATATTGTAAGAAATATGAAGTTTAAATAGTACTGAAGAAGCAATAGACAAAAAAAATGTAGATAAAGAACCTATAGATAAAGAAATAGTATAAATAAGTTAATAAATAAATCATATATATTTAGCTTAAATATATTTTTTAAAACTAGATACTTATACTAATAAGATTTGCTATTACTAATATGATTGTAGATAATATTACCTTTACTAACTACAAATTCAGACCAGAGAATAGTTAAAATATTAATTTGAATTTAAATTTAATATAAAAATGATTAAAAATTCAAAATTTAAAATAAAACTTACTATATATATATATGTTTTTTTTCTTTTTTTTTAACTCTGCTAGTGGGACACTATATAACATAATTTATGAATAATATTTTTATTGTATAAATAAGTTAATCCTCCTTTGTAAGTTGAATAAGTTCTACTCAGAAACTTTATAAGATCTTTTTACTTTTTTCTAAATACTATAAGTTCATAGATTATCATTATAAAATTAGCTATTTCTGCATTTAATATTATATTAAATGAGATTATTAATTTAAAATATAATTACTATTTAAATTATTATATAACATTTCTTGAAATTCTATATAATTTAGTAATGTTAGGATGATTTAATTTTATAAAGAACTTTAGTTTGTATAATAATATATAATCTATTATTTTGGATACTAGAATACTTAAAGTCAAATAAAGATAGCATATTTTCTGAATGCCTCATTATCTACTTTTTAATACATACAAACTAAATTCTTCTTTTTTCTTATTGCTTAAAAATCTTATCTACAGATTGCACTAATCTTTTTGAAAGATATTATTCAATCTTTGTCATACTAATTATAAGATAAAAAACCTCTTTAGAAAAGTATTATTAGGTGAATTCTATAAGTGAATACTTTATAAAAAAAAAATACAAAAGTGGTTATAACAAAATAAATATTTTTTTACTCTGCTTTACTCAAGGCTGTGTAACTAATTGCAGTCTATTCAACAACAGTCACTTTCAAATTTGAGTCTTTGTTAAGTAAAATTATATGATATGTGATTGAAGAACCAATAACACCTTCTCAAGAATAACAACATATTGTCTTGCTTTAGACATTTTAAGAGAAATAAATATTTGACTAAATACTATACTAATACATTTGGTTTGAAAATAGTCAACTCTTTTTTTACAAGTATAGTTAGCTTTTTCTGTTCTGAATTCAATATAAAAAATTAACTATTAATACAATTATAAATATACTAGGTTTGATTCAATATTATCTATGAAAGTTAAGTTGAATCATATAATAATTCTGTAACAAAATAGATTACACTAAATATTTTTTGACAATATAAAAATATTTAAAAGGTAAATTTAAACTTTACTCAATACTGAAATTTTAATCAGCTACTTATTTTTTGAATAGGTATAGCTAGAGCAAATAAGTGGATTCTACTGTAACTTTAGTAGATTCTAAATCTTCAAGTCTTTAAATACTAATTTCAATATATGTTTTAGATTTTTAATAACTAAATTTAAAAAAAAGGTCATATAAATTTAAAAAAAAAGGAATAAAAATAGCTAATCAGATTTATTTTTGTGAATTATCGATGATCTTTTAAATTCTAGAATAATCTTGTTATATTAAACCAAATTTGTAAATACTCTGAACTGCAATAATGGTTACTCCTGTTGAACCTGACTCAAACCCAACTCAAAGTTTTTTGGGTCAAAATTTTTTAACCTGAACCTGATCTGACCTGATTAGAAGCACTATACAGAATTAATTTTTTAAGAAAATTGCTAATTTTAACTAGAGAATTTTCTCTGCAAGTTATCATTATTAGCTAATAAAATTGCAGGATCAGGTGTAATAACAAAAACAGAGAATTTAACTACTACAGCACTAAAAAGCTTATTCATATTTGTGAAATGTAAATTTGTGAAAATATAATTTAAATAAGAAAAAATAGCCAATTGTAGACTGCAACTCTATTTTCTGTGACAACTATATTTAGTGATCCAAACTATAACTCGAGTAACTATATACTCAATAACCCAAACTATAAAATTTGCCAACTGGATTATTTTTTTGACAAACCAGATGACTCATTTTACAATGGATAACACAATAATAAATGAGTAACTTGTTTTATAATAGGTAATACAATAATAAGCAAGTATCCTATTTTACAATAGTTAGTAAATTCAATAGATTAATATATTAATATATATCGATTATATAAAATTCTCTAATCTCTATCTTAATTCTCTATTTTAGTAGTTATTAATCATTCCAATTATAGACCTGCAAAAGAAAGAAATAAGATGAGTTTTTACTTTAGTTATTTATTTGTAATTAACTTATCTATTCTTGCTATTACGATTTGTTATTCCAGACTTACAAAAAGAAGAATTTGAGAGGTGAGTTTTCTCAATTCTAGTTATTTTGATTCTGATATACAAAAGAAAGAAATAAGATTAGTTTTTATTTTATTTTTA